CAAGGGTGTGAGCTCACCAGTGCAAGGATGAGTGTCAGTGCCCCACTGTGCAAGGGTGTGAGCTCACCAGTGCAAGGATGAGTGTCAGTGCCCCACTGTGCAAGGGTGTGAGCTCACCAGTGCAAGGATGAGTGTCAGTGCCCCACTGTGCAAGGGTGTGAGCTCACCAGTGCAAGGATGAGTGTCAGTGCCCCACTGTGCAAGGGTGTGAGCTCACCAGTGCAAGGATGAGTGTCAGTGCCCCACTGTGCAAGGGTGTGAGCTCACCAGTGCAAGGATGAGTGTCAGTGCCCCACTGTGCAAGGGTGTGAGCTCACCAGTGCAAGGATGAGTGTCAGTGCCCCACTGTGCAAGGGTGTGAGCTCACCAGTGCAAGGATGAGTGTCAGTGCCCCACTGTGCAAGGGTGTGAGCTCACCAGTGCAAGGATGAGTGTCAGTGCCCCACTGTGCAAGGGTGTGAGCTCACCAGTGCAAGGATGAGTGTCAGTGCCCCACTGTGCAAGGGTGTGAGCTCACCAGTGCAAGGATGAGTGTCAGTGCCCCACTGTGCAAGGGTGTGAGCTCACCAGTGCAAGGATGAGTGTCAGTGCCCCACTGTGCAAGGGTGTGAGCTCACCAGTGCAAGGATGAGTGTCAGTGCCCCACTGTGCAAGGGTGTGAGCTCACCAGTGCAAGGATGAGTGTCAGTGCCCCACTGTGCAAGGGTGTGAGCTCACCAGTGCAAGGATGAGTGTCAGTGCCCCACTGTGCAAGGGTGTGAGCTCACCAGTGCAAGGATGAGTGTCAGTGCCCCACTGTGCAAGGGTGTGAGCTCACCAGTGCAAGGATGAGTGTCAGTGCCCCACTGTGCAAGGGTGTGAGCTCACCAGTGCAAGGATGAGTGTCAGTGCCCCACTGTGCAAGGGTGTGAGCTCACCAGTGCAAGGATGAGTGTCAGTGCCCCACTGTGCAAGGGTGTGAGCTCACCAGTGCAAGGATGAGTGTCAGTGCCCCACTGTGCAAGGGTGTGAGCTCACCAGTGCAAGGATGAGTGTCAGTGCCCCACTGTGCAAGGGTGTGAGCTCACCAGTGCAAGGATGAGTGTCAGTGCCCCACTGTGCAAGGGTGTGAGCTCACCAGTGCAAGGATGAGTGTCAGTGCCCCACTGTGCAAGGGTGTGAGCTCACCAGTGCAAGGATGAGTGTCAGTGCCCCACTGTGCAAGGGTGTGAGCTCACCAGTGCAAGGATGAGTGTCAGTGCCCCACTGTGCAAGGGTGTGAGCTCACCAGTGCAAGGATGAGTGTCAGTGCCCCACTGTGCAAGGGTGTGAGCTCACCAGTGCAAGGATGAGTGTCAGTGCCCCACTGTGCAAGGGTGTGAGCTCACCAGTGCAAGGATGAGTGTCAGTGCCCCACTGTGCAAGGGTGTGAGCTCACCAGTGCAAGGATGAGTGTCAGTGCCCCACTGTGCAAGGGTGTGAGCTCACCAGTGCAAGGATGAGTGTCAGTGCCCCACTGTGCAAGGGTGTGAGCTCACCAGTGCAAGGATGAGTGTCAGTGCCCCACTGTGCAAGGGTGTGAGCTCACCAGTGCAAGGATGAGTGTCAGTGCCCCACTGTGCAAGGGTGTGAGCTCACCAGTGCAAGGATGAGTGTCAGTGCCCCACTGTGCAAGGGTGTGAGCTCACCAGTGCAAGGATGAGTGTCAGTGCCCCACTGTGCAAGGGTGTGAGCTCACCAGTGCAAGGATGAGTGTCAGTGCCCCACTGTGCAAGGGTGTGAGCTCACCAGTGCAAGGATGAGTGTCAGTGCCCCACTGTGCAAGGGTGTGAGCTCACCAGTGCAAGGATGAGTGTCAGTGCCCCACTGTGCAAGGGTGTGAGCTCACCAGTGCAAGGATGAGTGTCAGTGCCCCACTGTGCAAGGGTGTGAGCTCACCAGTGCAAGGATGAGTGTCAGTGCCCCACTGTGCAAGGGTGTGAGCTCACCAGTGCAAGGATGAGTGTCAGTGCCCCACTGTGCAAGGGTGTGAGCTCACCAGTGCAAGGATGAGTGTCAGTGCCCCACTGTGCAAGGGTGTGAGCTCACCAGTGCAAGGATGAGTGTCAGTGCCCCACTGTGCAAGGGTGTGAGCTCACCAGTGCAAGGATGAGTGTCAGTGCCCCACTGTGCAAGGGTGTGAGCTCACCAGTGCAAGGATGAGTGTCAGTGCCCCACTGTGCAAGGGTGTGAGCTCACCAGTGCAAGGATGAGTGTCAGTGCCCCACTGTGCAAGGGTGTGAGCTCACCAGTGCAAGGATGAGTGTCAGTGCCCCACTGTGCAAGGGTGTGAGCTCACCAGTGCAAGGATGAGTGTCAGTGCCCCACTGTGCAAGGGTGTGAGCTCACCAGTGCAAGGATGAGTGTCAGTGCCCCACTGTGCAAGGGTGTGAGCTCACCAGTGCAAGGATGAGTGTCAGTGCCCCACTGTGCAAGGGTGTGAGCTCACCAGTGCAAGGATGAGTGTCAGTGCCCCACTGTGCAAGGGTGTGAGCTCACCAGTGCAAGGATGAGTGTCAGTGCCCCACTGTGCAAGGGTGTGAGCTCACCAGTGCAAGGATGAGTGTCAGTGCCCCACTGTGCAAGGGTGTGAGCTCACCAGTGCAAGGATGAGTGTCAGTGCCCCACTGTGCAAGGGTGTGAGCTCACCAGTGCAAGGATGAGTGTCAGTGCCCCACTGTGCAAGGGTGTGAGCTCACCAGTGCAAGGATGAGTGTCAGTGCCCCACTGTGCAAGGGTGTGAGCTCACCAGTGCAAGGATGAGTGTCAGTGCCCCACTGTGCAAGGGTGTGAGCTCACCAGTGCAAGGATGAGTGTCAGTGCCCCACTGTGCAAGGGTGTGAGCTCACCAGTGCAAGGATGAGTGTCAGTGCCCCACTGTGCAAGGGTGTGAGCTCACCAGTGCAAGGATGAGTGTCAGTGCCCCACTGTGCAAGGGTGTGAGCTCACCAGTGCAAGGATGAGTGTCAGTGCCCCACTGTGCAAGGGTGTGAGCTCACCAGTGCAAGGATGAGTGTCAGTGCCCCACTGTGCAAGGGTGTGAGCTCACCAGTGCAAGGATGAGTGTCAGTGCCCCACTGTGCAAGGGTGTGAGCTCACCAGTGCAAGGATGAGTGTCAGTGCCCCACTGTGCAAGGGTGTGAGCTCACCAGTGCAAGGATGAGTGTCAGTGCCCCACTGTGCAAGGGTGTGAGCTCACCAGTGCAAGGATGAGTGTCAGTGCCCCACTGTGCAAGGGTGTGAGCTCACCAGTGCAAGGATGAGTGTCAGTGCCCCACTGTGCAAGGGTGTGAGCTCACCAGTGCAAGGATGAGTGTCAGTGCCCCACTGTGCAAGGGTGTGAGCTCACCAGTGCAAGGATGAGTGTCAGTGCCCCACTGTGCAAGGGTGTGAGCTCACCAGTGCAAGGATGAGTGTCAGTGCCCCACTGTGCAAGGGTGTGAGCTCACCAGTGCAAGGATGAGTGTCAGTGCCCCACTGTGCAAGGGTGTGAGCTCACCAGTGCAAGGATGAGTGTCAGTGCCCCACTGTGCAAGGGTGTGAGCTCACCAGTGCAAGGATGAGTGTCAGTGCCCCACTGTGCAAGGGTGTGAGCTCACCAGTGCAAGGATGAGTGTCAGTGCCCCACTGTGCAAGGGTGTGAGCTCACCAGTGCAAGGATGAGTGTCAGTGCCCCACTGTGCAAGGGTGTGAGCTCACCAGTGCAAGGATGAGTGTCAGTGCCCCACTGTGCAAGGGTGTGAGCTCACCAGTGCAAGGATGAGTGTCAGTGCCCCACTGTGCAAGGGTGTGAGCTCACCAGTGCAAGGATGAGTGTCAGTGCCCCACTGTGCAAGGGTGTGAGCTCACCAGTGCAAGGATGAGTGTCAGTGCCCCACTGTGCAAGGGTGTGAGCTCACCAGTGCAAGGATGAGTGTCAGTGCCCCACTGTGCAAGGGTGTGAGCTCACCAGTGCAAGGATGAGTGTCAGTGCCCCACTGTGCAAGGGTGTGAGCTCACCAGTGCAAGGATGAGTGTCAGTGCCCCACTGTGCAAGGGTGTGAGCTCACCAGTGCAAGGATGAGTGTCAGTGCCCCACTGTGCAAGGGTGTGAGCTCACCAGTGCAAGGATGAGTGTCAGTGCCCCACTGTGCAAGGGTGTGAGCTCACCAGTGCAAGGATGAGTGTCAGTGCCCCACTGTGCAAGGGTGTGAGCTCACCAGTGCAAGGATGAGTGTCAGTGCCCCACTGTGCAAGGGTGTGAGCTCACCAGTGCAAGGATGAGTGTCAGTGCCCCACTGTGCAAGGGTGTGAGCTCACCAGTGCAAGGATGAGTGTCAGTGCCCCACTGTGCAAGGGTGTGAGCTCACCAGTGCAAGGATGAGTGTCAGTGCCCCACTGTGCAAGGGTGTGAGCTCACCAGTGCAAGGATGAGTGTCAGTGCCCCACTGTGCAAGGGTGTGAGCTCACCAGTGCAAGGATGAGTGTCAGTGCCCCACTGTGCAAGGGTGTGAGCTCACCAGTGCAAGGATGAGTGTCAGTGCCCCACTGTGCAAGGGTGTGAGCTCACCAGTGCAAGGATGAGTGTCAGTGCCCCACTGTGCAAGGGTGTGAGCTCACCAGTGCAAGGATGAGTGTCAGTGCCCCACTGTGCAAGGGTGTGAGCTCACCAGTGCAAGGATGAGTGTCAGTGCCCCACTGTGCAAGGGTGTGAGCTCACCAGTGCAAGGATGAGTGTCAGTGCCCCACTGTGCAAGGGTGTGAGCTCACCAGTGCAAGGATGAGTGTCAGTGCCCCACTGTGCAAGGGTGTGAGCTCACCAGTGCAAGGATGCATGAAGTCAGGCCCAGGGAACAGCGCCCAACACCTACCCCAGGGGACTCTGAACTGGGCAGGACAGAGCCCCACCCCATGGGGATAGAGACCTGGGGATCCATAGGGGAAGGGGCTCTGGGATCCATAGGGGATCCATAGGGGAAGGGGCTCTGGGGATCCATAGGGGATCCATAGGGGGTGGCCTTACTTCTGCTGGTACTCCTTGATGAGCCGCTTGGCCTTGCTGTATTTCCGCTCCAGGGTCTGGTACTGGGCTTGCGTCTCTTTCAGGTGCTCGTCCACGGCCTGGCACAGGCTCTGGGCCTCCATCCAGTAGCCCTCCAGCTTCTCCATCCTCTCCTTGTTCTCCTCCACGCTCTGCTCCAGCTGGGCCTTCTCGGCTCGCCAGCGAGCCTTCTCCTGCTCCACCGCCTGCAGCTGGACGGGCAGCGCAGCACAGGGTCAGGGGGAGGGACAAGCGTGTGCCGGGTCTGTCTCTCTGGGCCTGTGGTTTGGGCGATGGTGTGGTTGTGCGTTGTGGTATCTCTGTGCAGGGGTGGGTGTGCTTGTGTCTCCGTGTGTTGGAGTATCTCTGCATTTGTGTGTTTGTGTCTGGTAGTGTGCTGGTTGTGTGGCTGTGGGTGTGGTTATCTTTCTGTGTGCTTGTCCCTGTGTGTGTCTGTGTCCTTGTGTGCACTTGTTTATTTCTCGTTGTGTGCTGTTGTATCTCTGCACATGGCTGTGTCTGTGTGTGCACTTATTTGTGTATTTCTCATTGTGTGCGGTTCTATCTCTGCGTATGATTGTGTGTCTGTGGGTGTGGTTATTTTTCTGTGTGCTTGTCCCTGTGTGTGTCTGTGTGCTGGAGTATCTCTGTGCATGGTTGCATGTCTATGTGTGTGCTTGTGTCTCTCTGTGTGCACTTATTTGTGTATTTCTCATTGTGTGCGGTTGTAGCTCTGCGTATGATTGTGTGTCTGTGTGTTTGCAGTGTGTTTCTGGTTGTGCGCTGCTGTACGTCTGGGTGTGGTTGTGTGTCTGTGGTGTAGTTGTGTCTGTGCTCAACACACACACAGCGCCTCTCTCTGTGTGTGGTTGTGCTGCATGTGCAGTTGTGTAGGGGTGTTTGCAATGACCAGGGACCGGGCCTCAGAGCTGGAAGAGGAGCCCCTGCCGGCTCCCCACCC